CAAAAAAAAAAAAAAAATTATGTGGAAAAAAATCAAACACACGTATTCCGAGAATACGGTTTTTATGTTAAAACGTATTACGGGAATACGTTTCTCATATATAAACGCATTCGCCGAATGCGTTTTACTAAGAAATCGTAATTAAGATAATTAATCTTAATTAACATAAAAAAAAACGTATGCGCAGAATACGTTTTTTATATATAAACGTATAGGCGGAATACGTTTTAAGTAAACCGTATGTCCTGAATACGTTTTTTTGCTAAAATTTAATTTCTAAAACGTAATTTTCAAATACGTTTTAATGCTAAAATTTATTTTTAGAATTATGAAAAATATTTTCTTGTTAATATTAATTTTCTGAAAATATTAAACGTATTCTACGAATACGTTTTCAGTTAAATGTTGAGACAAAAACGAATACGTAGAATACGTTTTTCTTTGAAAAAATTAATAATAATATAAACCTATTCAACCAACCTGTCCAATATACACATGTTCAACCAACTCATATATATCAATTCAGCAAAAAATAATTCAACATACATTATATAAAAAACAATCAACCACAATGCAATATTCAAAAAACACAATATAAAACTTAAAAGGTCAAAATACGGTTTTAAATACAAAACAAATATGTCTGCAAAGTTTAAAGTACAAAATACACAAACTAACTAGGAAGGAGTATAGTTATTCGGGGGTCTACGCTGTCGGGACCCCTTCCTAGGAGGCCGTTGTCCTGAAGAAGGCCGCTGTCCTGAAGAAGACGATGATGCGGTCTGGATAGGTGTGGCAGCTTCTTCTTGATCTGAGTAATTCATTTTTTAAACAAATTAGAAATTCGACTGAACAAAAAAACAAAAAAAAATAAAATAAAAAAAATAAACACTTTTTAATGAAAAAAAAATTATCACCTTCTTCTTCGTCCTCATACCCAGTGGCAGCAGCGGGTTTACGAGCGGCAGCGGGTTCACGGGCACGCCGTCTTCGACCTCCACCAATGTTGCCAGACAGTCGATGCCTCGCCCGATATGACTGTGTGGCCTGGGAAGGGACGTAGTCGTCTTCAGATAGAATTTGACTAGACGACGCCCCTTGTATGACCTGTTGCCCTCCAACAGTCA